ATCCAAGACCATCCTCTTGGCTACTTGTCCTTCTCACCTGAGAAGCGTTGTGACTGAAGGGTGTTTGGGATCTATATCTCCTCCTATTTTGTTTTGTATCTTGTTTTGGGCTTTTGCCTCCTTTGTAACCCAAAAAAAAAATTATTGCGTGATTTTTATATTTAATACACGTAAAATTTCAGTATAATTATTAATTTAAAGTTTTAATTAATGCACAATATATATTAAAAATTATTATATAAAAATAATTACAAAATCTCAAATGTATATAAAAAATATTGATACTAAGATCAAATTTTTAGTGAGAATTGTTTTGAAATTGCATGCTAAATATTACTAATAGTTTTTCTTATATTAATATTCAATTATAAAGAATGGAAAAAAAATTAATACTTGAATTTAATAGAACGGACTTGATTCCCTTTGAATAAGGTTGAAGTTCAAATTTTGTAAATAAAAAAATTTCATCGGGAGATTTACCCAACAATAATTAATTAAAGATAGTAGAATTTTGGCAACAAAAAAAAGAATAGAGAATGGGGAAAAATTGGAAATGATGGGAATTCAAAGCAGAAATGATAATTCATGATGTGGCTTGAAAATAAGAAGGGAATATTAGAGTCTGGAGTAGCAGACTATATTAAATATCAAATTCCAACAAGTAAAATATTATGAGGACTCTTATCCTTGTGTAACACTAGACACTATTTTGTACTCCCTCTAGTTCATAATATAAGATGTTTATTAGAAGAAAATTGTGATTCAAAAACTAAAATATTATCAAGATAATTAATGTAATGTTTTCAAGATGAGATATAATAGAAGGGTAACATTGAAGACAACTTTATTATTTTTTAGGTATAAAAAAACTCTATCATTTTAGGACAAATTTAATGATTAGACTTCTATTTCTTAGTGTGTGATGAAAATTAACCAACTTCTTATATTATGGACCAAGAGGAATACCTTGTTTTTGTGGTGTTTCTTGTTGGTTTTATGTGATTGAATTACCATTTGATCAGGGCATTCAGTTTAGGGACCGAATTTGAATTGTCCAACTATTTTTTTGAGAAAAAATTATTTTAATAGATGCGAAATTTAAAATAAATATAATTTATTAACACTCTATCTTCAAAAAAAGGATCTTATTATTTAAAAATTATCAATTAAAAATTTTAAATCTCAACGGTTGGAATTATTTTTGGACCGTGAAGATTTGACACTGTGATGAGCATGGGCTCAAAATCCTTTTTTAGCAATAAAGGTCATAAATCGGAACCCATACCAGTTAGGCGTCCGATGGATATATTTATTTGTATCCTATAATAGGGTTAAAGAAGTATAATATTAACTACCCATTCTAAATATAAAAACTAGTTGACTAATTAAAAAAAATTAAAAAATAAATTAAATTAGTTATTTATAATAAATAAGTATTATCTTTTTAAAATATATTTACTAATCAAGTATATTAAATAGAACTATTATTATTAAAAAGACTATCTTGATAAAAAAATAGATAAAAATGATAAACAAAATGGATTGAGTCTTATATTTAAGATCAAAATAAAATTCAAATGAAGTTTTATACTTCTCCAGTCTTTAATATAAGACTCATTTAACTAATTTGATTAGATTAAAAAGTTAGGTAAGTTAATTAATTATAAGAAAGTGATACATTTTTCCGAAAACACCATAAACATCTTTCTTAATACCTCCTCTCCCTCTTCTATTTGATTATAGTTGAGGAGTATTTATAGGGGTAATTTGAGAAAATTAATAAATATGAGAAGTGAATCTTATATTTGGACCAAAACTAATTCAAGAATTGGGTCCTATATTAAGAACCGAAAGAGTATTAATAATTGGATATAGTAATAAATAAATATCAACGCTAATCATTACTCATGGTCTTAGAGTTGAAGGAATGGTCACCGGCACCGCCAATATCTTATTGTATAAATTGCTGACATAATGTCTTGGATTTTAATCCATAAATCACGCACCATGTCTGCGTTGTCTACAACAATCTTAATTCGACTTTTACAATAGATTATTCCAGTACAACTTTCTTAAACTTGTTTGCTGAAATATTTCTACCAACCCATTAAACATGCACACATGATTAAGGGTGTGTTTGGAATCACATCTGGACCTTCAAACTGACTTCTCTACCGGTAAAAGGAGCTTTTTGATCTGGGATGTGTTTGGAATCACATTTTTGCAATATGACTTCTGTCACTGAAACGGACTTATACAATAAGCTGAAAAAAGCTGCTTTTATCTAATCTGACTTCTGTAAAAGTCAGATTGAAAAAAAAGTTACTTCTCCACCGCTAATCCAAACACCCTAAAATACATCGTTCATTTACCAAAATCTGCAGTGTAAGAATTTAGTAACAAGAAAAGTTAATTCCTGGAATGTCCTGTTCACACACACAATTATATGCGTACACGTGTTAATGATGTAGAAATTAAATCCCATGAGGTGGGGGCTCTTAGTAATTGTAACCATTTTTAATTAAAAAAATTTATAAAATGTCGTTAAGATTATATAGTAATGAAAATAGAATTCCACTGCGAATTTGGCTCCTAAAAATTCAACGTAAGGTTGCAACAAGTGTTTGATTATTAATTAAGGTGTTGAAATTGGTTGTGTTATTCAAGGAGAGTGGGTTCAGTATTTCACCAACTCTCTTTTCAATTAATATGATAATCACTAATTAATTAATTGAGATTTGATGTTTCAACTTTCATTTTCAAACTTGAAATTAAATTCCCTTCTTCTCTCACGCCTCTCAATTTGAGCAATTACCTTCTCATCATTGTTGTGTTTAGGAGGCTGCGTTCCCTGAATTGTGGTAACGGTAAAGCAAAGGCGCATTTCAACCCTTGACCCTTCAATTTCAAATCAACGACCAAAATCTCTTCCGTGGGCCATCTCAAGTGAGAGAGCATGAAACACAAACATTTTTCTACCCTGTCAGATCACCGGATTCGTTGAATAACTAATTTACACACATTAAAGAAATTAATTAACTTAACTACTATCTCGGATTCTAATTATAAGATCTTTTTTATATAAAGGATGTTTTTGTAATTAAGACCAAAGGTAATATTTGTTAAAAAGATATGTGTTAATATCATTTTTAATCATTAACCTATTTTTTAATAGAAACTTCTTAATATATATAATCAGTATAGATGCGTGGTTTGAAAACAAAAATTTTAAATCTGGGGTACCTCTTAGCATGTTAAACTATTCCTTACCACGTGTTAATATCATCTTTAATCATTAAACTATTTCTCAATAAAAATTTCGTAACATGTGCAATGGTTTGAGGAAAAAAATAAATATAAAATTAGAAGACAGAATGAATTAAAATTTTTTATTTAGAACCAAAATAAATTTTCAGATAACCAACTCATGTATTTAGAATGGGAGGGAGTATATATTTTATCTAGCATCATTCTTATTATTTTTTTAATTAAAGCGTGAGAATTTTTTTCCTTTGTAAAATCATTCTTTTGGTGTGTTGAGTGCATCAACGTGTTATCAGATTGTTTACTGTTTGCATTTAGATCATAAGATTAAAAAGGTATTTGGGTAAGAATAAAACTATGGTTTTAGAAGTACTTTTACGGTATATGAAGTAAATATGTGGAGGAGTTCATCTCGATTTACAGAAAAGTGCTTTTGAAAAGTGATTCTGATTGTTTCTAAACACTCCTTAAGTTTCAACGTTTGGGTCAAATTTAAAGAAAGACGCATAAAAAAATTCTTTCTCTGCATAATTACTAGGAAAAAATCATACGAGAGGTGCATATATATTTTTTTCTTTTTAATTTAAGACCTATATGTTTTTTCTTTAATTAAATTATCTAATAGAAACTTCTTAATCTTTGAACAAAGACTACCAATATTAATAGAATAAAATTAAAGATTTAAATAAGATAAAAAATACATAAGTATCAAATTAGAGATTGAGAAAAAATATATATATTTTTTTTGGCTTTATGATTCATTATTCACCTTGAAAATAAACGCGACTCCATTGGGCGTTCCCATTGAAACAACGTAAGGCGCCGAATTTGAATGTTCATTGGATATTCCAAGGTACAGGTGGGTAACATTTAATAAGTCGCTTTTTTTCCCCCCAAACAAACGGGTGTCATTCAAAAGGACACCCTGTCCTTGGGGGAAAAAAAGCACTCACTCAATAGTCAATAATTATAACAGTACTTCTAAAAACATCTATTTTTAAGATCATATGAGTAAGAAGATATTTGAATGAAAATCAAATCATAGTTTTAAAAATAATTTTACGGTATACAAAATAAACATGTGAAAGAATTTATCTCGATTTACAAAAAAATATTTTTTAGAAGCATTTTTATGTGATGCCAAACACCTCTTAAGTTTCAAGACTTGGGTCAAAATTAAAGAAAGACACATAAAAGAGTCTTTCTCTGCATAATTAGTAATTACTAGTAATAAAACTATTATTCCTTTTGCTTTATGATTCATTAGCCTTGAAAATAATTAAATGCGACTTCCTTGGTGGTTCTTATTGAAACAACGTAAAGACACCGAATTTGAATATTCAATAAATTTAAAACATCTATCTTTTCAATCAATTATAGTATTAATTAACTCTATATATAGTAATAAATAAATAAAAAGTTGATAAATGTGCCTAACAATCTCTTCCAACTGAACTAATCATAGTTATTGCGTAAGGCAACCAAAGAGGAAGTACAGTTGCATGACTTGACAATAACTGATACCAGACGCTATTTAATTAATTCCAATACTAAATCTGAGAAGTAAAGCATAAGGGACAACCTCAAATTTAGTAAATGCTTTTGTCATAGCACATGGAAAAAGGAACAGAGCAGAAGAAGAAGAAGAAGATATATAGTCTTAATATAGTATTAATGCACATGAGCTTGCAAGATTCTGATTGGACACATTCCAAATCTCATATCAGAACTGGCTGGTCTCATTATTAACAAGCATTTAAAAATTAAAAAAGTCCCAAAAAAAAAAACAGATGGATAAATTAAAGATCAGCTCCGCGTTTATGTACAGATTTCTCTTCTTCAAGAAGCAACCTGGATTTATATATCACTGCATTGGTTTACAGTGACATAAACATGAGCCTGAACAACCTTGTTCGTCTCAACAACAACACGATTATGAGACATATTTCTAAGAACAGATTGTGGGAATGTGTTATCCGACGAGCATAATGAATATTGAACATGTCGGATAAGGTTAGGGAACAGCAAAACTTTGTTGAAATCAACTGTCCATGAGGTTCCATTCCCTTTAGAAGATGCTCTTGCAACTGTGGTCTTCAAGTTCATCCCATTCACCATGTTTCCATCAACCAGAACTTGATCAATTTGCCTGAAAGGTCCATTTGATTGATCCAAATGAACAATGTCAACCCCGGAATTGGACCCAGAAAACATGTTGTTCACGATGTTGACACCATTCACGACCCCATTTTTTGACTTCAGGACAACGTTTGCGTCTCCGAGGAAGAAACTACTTGAGATGTGAAGCTGAACTGGATCCTCAGCAACAATACTCGTGTAATCCATGTATGAATTCACAATCCTGGTTTGGGTAAAACCAGGAAGTTTCAGATAAATCCCTGTGCCTCCAAATGAAGTGGCTTTGTTGTAGCAATGTACACCAGAAATTGTGTTGGCTTCACCAGAAAGCATGATGCCTACGGAGGCGGAGAACACAACGACGTCGGTGACGACGTTGTCGTTGCCGGCGAGGGTTATCCCGGTGCCGGAGAAGCTCCTCTCGTAGGGGTCGGCTCCGGCGGTGATGTGCTGGCCAAGGAAGGTGTTGTGGATGAAGGTTTCATGGCCTCCTTGGACTTGAATCCCGTTGGTGGTGAAGTGAGTGATGTAACAATTTTGTATGGAGATTCTGAGTGAGTTTATTATTGAAATGCCTCCTCCTTTGAAGTTTGAATCTAACAAAAGATCCTTGAGGGTTATATACTCATAGTTGTATTGTGAAGGATTTGGTGAAGCTTTCTGGGTTTGCTTTCCCTTGTTTGATGTTTCTGATAAATCAATCAGATACGCATTTGGTGGGAAATTCTCTGAAGCTCTTATAGTTCCACCATGGATCTGTCCAAAAGAAAAAAGACAAAAATCGTATGGTTAGTAAAATTCAAACTGAAGAAATGCGTGATCAAAGGGCACTCTTTTTCTTCCATAATCTACCAAATCGTTTTGGACTAAACCAGTTCGTTTTCCCATTCATATACGAAACAGTACCACGTGGCCGAATAACCAAGAACATGACCGCTTACCATGAGGTTGCCGAATCCGGTGGCCGGCAGCCTTAGGGGGTGGTTGATGAGGTAGTTTCCGCCCTGAAGATCAATCCGAGCACCACCCAGATCGGTGACACCAGGCATCAAGTGACGTTTCTTAGTGGGAATTCTGGTGGCGTCTTGTATGGCTTTAAGAATCGCTTCCGTGCTGTCTGATTTTCCCGTTGGATCCGCACCGTACGAGGTGGGCAGAAATACCCCTGCCTTGTTCTCACCCTGCAAGAAAACATTCATCAAATGTATAAATATATATATAGATTATATCAAGCTATAATGTGATGTTTGGAACAGGAATCAATCATATTACCGGTGATGGGGTTGAAGTAAAAGGAGATGGGGAAGCAACTTTAATGGAGGTCTTGAGGTGGTCCAGTCTGAGAAGGGCTTTTTCATAATGGCCAGTGGGGAGAGATGGAGAGAAGTGATTTTCTCTACAGAGGGAGAATCTGATGAGGGTAGACAGCCCAATGAGGAAGATGGTTAGAGCTTTTGTGGGCTCCATTGATGACCAGGCTTCGAAGTTTCAGAGGAGAAGGTTGGGGGAGAAGCACTATTAGCTGCGAGCCAGCGAGTATATATATACACATATATGAGGAAGCGGCAAAGAAAAATGGACCATAATCTTTCGTAATATTTGAAATATTATGGATCACAAAAATAAATATATCATCTATATATCGCAATATCAACAATATACTGAATATTCTTATTATTCATTCTTTTTTTTTTCCCACAATTACAATGAGCGGTGCTAATTTCTATTTAAATTTTTTTAATTTTAATTTCGATGATTTTTTTTGCTTTATATTATGTTACCTTTCCTGTTGTAAATCTACCCTTTTATTGGATGTAGATGTTGTAAATCTACTCTTCCATCTTGATTTGGTGAATCAATTATAATTAATATTATTATTGTTTTGGTGAGTTGATTTCTTAAGTACTGCATCAATGAGATATGAACATGTGCGTAGATTAATAAACACTCAGACTGTTAGTTGCATTTAGGATTTAGCTATCTAGTGATTATTATTTGTAATTTGTAGGAGTTTTTCACATACAAAAAGGAGTATTAAATAGATAAAATCTTCCACTCTTACCCTTATTAAATAGAACATTAACTGCTAATATATTTTCTCTTATTTATTTCCTTTCTCTTCACGTTTACTATAATTAATAAGGATAGAATTGGAAATGACGTGTTAAAAAGAGCACATGTGACAAATAAAAATGATCAAAATCACTCCATACAAACCACAAGGCCTGGTTTGAATTCCTTAAACATCTAATCAGGGATTCGATTCTTGACACCGTGTTTGAAAAGGGTCTTGTGGCTAGCACTAAAGCCTCTTCAAAAAATCTACGGTATATGATGATTAATCACTGTTACTGACGATGGATACTCAAAGCTCAAGTTGGAAAAGAAAAAAAAAAAAAAAAACCCCTCCCAACCCAAAAGGCTAAAAGATGGCGGGTATATGTATTTAGAGAGAGAGAAAGAGTTTGAATATGAATGAAATTTAAGTTCTTGAAGACGAAGATACATTTTATGTGGAGGAGAAGACGCCACTAGATCGAAGGATATGACTACAAAGCTACGGATATTCACTACATTTGACGGTAATTCAATGCTTCAGTCAACAAATTTCAGTTTCTAATTTGAAATCTATTGGTAAGTTTGATTCTCTCAAGCAAATCATTTCGCAGCCTTGAACACAAATAGTAACACTTAACAACAAGGGCAATTTGAATAAATCTCCTTTGATCCTCAAAATCTTTATAAACAATTAAACATCTTCCATAAGTTTTTGAGTTTGTGTGGATAATCCCATCATCATCAATTATTTAATTATTTCACTCAGAAACTAAAAATAATATATTATCGACCAAATACCCCTTAAATTTCTTTCTTTTGGAAGATGACATCCTCAATTTTTGAGATTTGCGTTATATATAACACATAAATATTATAAAAGATCATTATGTGGTTTCAAAAAAAAAAATTAATTGTAAAAAAATCTGAAAAATTCTAATGTGAAAAATGACGACCAAGTCTACACTGCTCACTTAGTTATTCGTCACTGGGATGTTTATGGTAATTATATTCCTTAAGATCTTATAATAATTCCTCTTAAATTTTATGTCATATGCAAATGGACCTCTTGATATATCATATTTTAAGGGAAAATCCTAAAAAATACATTTAAAATTTCAAAATCTTAAATTAGGAATTACTAAAAATTGTGTCATCGTTTGTTTTTCATGTATAGTAAATTGCTACTAGAGCATAGTAAAATTCAAGAGGTATTTTTTGTTGTTGCAATTTTTCTTATTTTAATGAAATAATAATAGATAGATTAATGATATGAAAGTTATTTGCATAAATATCAAAATTAGGAAGTCATATATATTATATACACACACACACACGCATAATTTCATATTACAGGAGTGTTATATACAAATTACCCTAAAGATAAAAATACAATAATAATTAGGTAGTTGAAACTATCTTAATAAGCCATTGCTAAATATTCAGGAAAGGGAGGACAGTACATATATATTAGGCAAATAAGTTTATGCCACAAATCTCATTCCGGCTGCTTTGATTAAAATAATTGTAATATAAACATGTTTGTGTGTGGGAAATAAGAGGAAGGAGAGGAGATTATATTATAGGGAAATAAGGAGTTAGAGAATTAGAAAGTAGAGAATTATAGTACTACCTCCGGTCCTTAATATAAGACCCTATTTGACTTTTATTTTGGTCCTAAATATAAGACTCCAATCCACTTTGTCTATCATATTTATACATTTTTTTCAAAGTAGTCCTTCTAATAATAAGAGTTATAGTCAATACATTTGATTAATAATGATATTTTAAGAAAGACAACACCTATTTAGGACAAATAACTAACTCAACTTACTTCCTTAATCTCCTCAAATTAGTCAACTGGCTCTTATAATTAGGATCGGAGATAGTATTGTTGAAGACACTCCGATTGGTATGTTAAAGCAACGGTGTGACATAAGTTCATGGCCGCGAAAAGAGACGTGATCTCACAATCAACTATTCTAATTGCTTCTCTTATTCTCGCACTTCATAAACCACCTATTTTTAAATATTTCTTTTCTGATCCTTAATATAGGACCTAATTGTTAAATTAATCTTGGTCCTAAATATAAGACCTATTTATCATATTTATCAATTTTTCTTAAATTACCCTTATTGATTAATTAAATAGGAAAAGGATGGGGGATATTAAAGAAGATGATTATGTTGTTTTAGGAAAAACAAGTCATATTTTTTATAATTAACTAACTTACCTAACTTTTTTAATCTAATCATATTAGTTAAATAGGTCTTATATCAAGGACCGGAGGAGTATTACTTTGGATCCTTAATATAAGAGCTCGTTTGACTTTTATTTTGATTCTAAATATAAGACCTCAATTCACTTTATCTTCTATATTTATTCATTTTTTTAAGGTAGTCTTTGTAATAAAAATGGTAATTCTAACCAGTACATTTGATTAATAAAGATATTTTAGGAAAGATAACACTTATTTATTACAAATAATTAATTTAATTAGTTTTTAAAATCTATTCAAATTATTCAACTAATTCTTATATTAAAGACTAGAGGTAGTACTATTATATAAGGCATTTTTATCTAATGCATAGGTATTAAAAGAAACAATTAGTTGAAATTTTAAACTCTCCTCCTAATTTATACACATGTAACCTCATATTTTATCAAGCTTCCCCCCCGGCGGGGATTTTTAACGTCAATTAGGCTACAAGAGTTGGACAACTTTTTGCTTCTTCAAATATATGGGAAATGGACCATATTAAAGATAATGATGGCAAGTAATTTTAATACACTCTTACAAACATTTTATTAAAAATATTACTTGCCTCTAAAAATCTGCAAAATACCTCATATCCTAGAATGTGAAACTTCATAAAATAGGCCGTATAATTAAGATAGAAAAAAATTTATAAATGTAAAAAGATATTATAAAACTATTTATGTATTCCTATTTGAAAATAATAAAAAGTTATTGAATAATAACAATAATCATAGTATCATACATGCTTTTACTGAATGGAATGACCTGGTTCAATAATACCGCTGTTTTTTTAAATGTAGTTTGTGCTTTGCATGGGGTCCAATTACCAATAGCAGTACTCATATGTCACAACTAATAAATAGGGTGATTTTATCAAAATTTTGTATTGATATTGGTAACGTAATAAATACATTAAAAATATACTACCTCCGGTCTTTATTATAAGACCCCGTTTGACTTTTTGTTTGGTCCTAATTATGAGACCCCAATCCATTTTGTCTCCCATATTTATGCATTTTTTTCCAAGATAATCTTTCTAATAATAATAGTTCTAGCCAATATACTTAATTAGCAAGGATATTTTAGGAATGACAACACTTATTTATTACAAATAACTAACTTAACTTACTTCCTTAATCTTCTCAAATAAGTCAACTGGGTCTTATAATTAGGACCGGAGGTAGTATGTATTTCTCATATTCTTCCTCTTCAACATTGTTGCTTGTGAATACAATTAGCAGTCTAATGAGAAAATTGGCATTTCATATGGGTGTCCTCTAAGTTCTAACCTCTTATTTTCAAGTCGCAACCGGGAAGCAATCATCTTCCTTTTTTTTTTTCCATTTATTTTGGCGGTTTTCTACCATTTAATCAAATGATAGAGAAATTTTAGATGATGTCCTAAAAATATAACAAAAGGGAAAATTTATGTGAAAAATGGAATATATATATCCAACTTTCTTTAGCCAATGAAATGTTAACTGTCAATTGGGCAATAGTACTATCATACAAAAAATTAAATTAAATATAAGAAAGAAATACAAATTCATAGACGAAACTAGTAAAATTGCCCAAATCTTCATCAATGCTAATTTGTCACAAATACTGAATGAATTTCTTGTACAGAAAAGGACTGATAACAGATTTATGATACAGATTAGTAGGTTGATATCTGATGATTGGGAAGTTAAGGTTGTGCATACGTATAGGGAGGGGAATTTTTGCGCAGATTGGTTAGCCAACTGGAGCCTGTCAAAGAATCCTGGTCTGCAGCTGTTACGTGAGCCACCAACTGGTTTACTTGACTTGCTGTATAGAGATGCTATGGGTGCTTGCCATCCAAGATTAGTTACTGATAGTGTTTGATTTTGGGCGTTTGCCCCATTGTACACCAAAAAAAAAAAAAAAACTCATTTGATGATACCATGAAAAATAAGATAAAAATAATAAAATTAATTAAAAATTTATTCGAATTTCTTATTTGAATGAAGGTGGTTACAAGTTTCTTGATAGACGAGGCAAGATAATAAACTATGAAAAAAAATGTAAAAAAAAATCTATTGACATGGTTCGTGAAGGTTAGGTTTACATTTACACATGTCATATGATTTGTTTTTGTTTTAAACCTCATCTTTATTTTTTCCCCCCTAA